AAAATAACTGTTAAATTGTGATTTTTCGTTGACAACTGTCGAAAAGTGTTGTCCCGTTACTTGACCCTTGAATGTTTGATTTCTGCGATTTTTGGCGTATGCGGTCTTAAAGCATATACAAACAAGTTTGACGGTTGGATCGTTGAAATTAGTTTCGTAGAATGCGTATCCAATCAAAACGATAGATTAACTAACACTTAGAGTTTATTTATATTTTTATTAAGTATAACATAAGATTTTGTGGTATCCACTAGTGTAAATATTTTAAATTGAAGATTGAGTTCATTCATTGTATTCGTATAGGGTCAAGGAGTGTAGCTGTAAAAAATCATCGAAATCGGAATTAAAATAACCGTTAAATCGTGATTTTTCGTTGATAACAGGTCAAAACGTTTTGTCCCGTTACTTGATCTTTGAATGTTTTTTTTTTGCAATTTTTGGCATATGCAATCTCGAAGTATATACAAACATATTTGACGGTTTGATTATTGAAACTAGTTTCGTAGAATGCGTATCCTATCAAAACAATAGATTCACTAACACTTAAGAGTTTATTCATACTTTCATTAAGTATAACATAAGATTTTGTGGTATCCACTAGTGTAAATATTTTAAATTGAAGATCGAATTCATTCATTGTATTCATATAGGGTCAAGGAGTGTAGCTGTAAAAAATTATCAAAATCGGAGTTAAAGTAACCGTTAAATCGTGATTTTTCGTTGATAACCGTCGAAAAGTTCTGTCCCGTTACTTGACCTTTGAATGTTTGATTTCTGCAATTTTTGGCGTATGCGGTCTTAAAGCATATACAAACAAGTTTGACGGTTGGATCGTTGAAATTAGTTTAGTAGAATGCGTATCCCATCAAAACGATAGATTAACTAACACTTAGAGTTTATTTATATTTTCATTAAGTATAACATAAAATTTAGTGGTATCCACTAGTGTAAATATTTTAAATTGTAGATTGAGTTCATTCATTGTATTTGTATAGGGTCAAGGAGTGTAGTTGTAAAAAATCATCGAAATCGGAATTAAAATAACCGTTAAATTGTGATTTTTCATTGATGACCGTCGAAAAGTTTTGACCCGTTACTTGACCTTTGAATGTTTTTTTTTTTGCGATTTTTGGTGTATGCGATCTTAAAGCATATACAAACAAGTTTGACGGTTGGATCATTGAAATTAGTTTCGTAGAATGTGTATCCCATGAAAATGATAGATTCACTAACAGTTAGAGTTTATTTATACTTTCATTAAGTATAACATAAGATTTTGTAGTATCCACTAGTGTAAATATTTTAAATTGAAGATCGAATTCATTCATTGTATTCATATAGGGTCAAGGAGTGTAGCTGTAAAAAATCATCAAAATCGGAGTTAAAATAACAGTTAAATCGTGATTTTTCGTTGATAACCGTCAAAAAGTTCTATCCCGTGACCTTTAAATGTTTGTTTTTTGCGATTTTTGGCGTATGCGGTCTTAAAGCATATACAAACAAGTTTGACGGTTGGATCATTAAAATTAGTTTCGTAGAATGCGTATCCCATCAAAACGATAGATTCACTAACAGTTAGAGTTTATTTATATTTTCATTAAGTATAACATAAAATTTTGTGGTATCCACTAGTGTAAATATTTTAAATTGAAGATCGATTTCATTCATTGTATTCGTATAGGGTCAAGGAGTGTAGCTGTAAAAAATCATCAAAATCAGAGTTAAATAATCGTTAAATCGGAGTTATATTTTCATTAAGTATAACATAAAATTTTGTGGTATCCACTAGTGTAAATATTTTAAATTGAAGATCGAGTTCATTCATTGTATTCGTATAGAGTCAAGGAGTGTAGCTGTAAAAAATCATCAAAATTGGAGTTAAATAATCGTTAAATCGTGATTTTTCGTTGATAACCGTAAAAAAGTTTTGTCCCGTTACTTGATCTCTGAATGTTTGTTTTTTTGCAATTTTTTGTTAATGCAATCTCGAAGCATATACAAACAAGTTTGACGGTTGGATCGTTGAAATTAGTTTCGTAGAATTCGTATCCCATCAAGTTTAATGGTATATATATTTATTAAGTAGATTTAAATTTATTTATTTTGTACATATAACACTTAAGAAATTGAATGGTCTGTATATTTAAGCTGATCCAATGGTCACCAATTTTTAATATTTAATATATATATATATATATATATATATATATATATATATAATTATTATAGTTTTAGGGTATAAAATTGTTAAATTAATATATACAATTATTATATTATTTTTTAGGGTTATAAAATTATAAATTAATATTTTGCTTATTGTGTATCGTGTTACCCACGTATATACCCAAACCAACTCATTAATTTAACAGATGCTTATCGGGTTACCCGATAATGACCTGATTCGTTATCGTGTCGACCCGAACACCTGTTAATTTAGTGTCATGTCGGGTTAATCAAGTCGTGTCATGAATTACCAGGCCTACCTCTAAGAAACTAAGTGGGTTGGTCATAAGGCAAAGGATCTTGAAAACTCAGGTTTTAAACTTTGGTATTCAGGCACAAATAGAATGAGAAATGGTGTTGGCATCATTGTGGCCAAGACCCTGACACAAGATGTTGTAGATGTCAATAGGGTAGGAGATAGAATTATGACAATCAAGATTGTAACAGGACAAGAATTGATCAAAGTAATTCGTGCGTGGGCACCTCAAGTTGGGTTGGATACGAGTTTGAAGAAGAAATTTTAAGAAGACCTTGAAGACTTGGTGTAAGGAATCACTCAAACGGAGAAAGTATTTATAAGAGGAGATTTAAATGGACATGTGGGCAAGGAGGCATGCAACTATGGAGGTTTTCATGGTGGCCATGGTTTTGGGGAGAGAAACAAGGACGGGGAAGCCATCTTAGATTTTGTAATGGCATACGATCTCTTCTTAGACAACACCTACTTTAAGAAGAAAGAAGAACAAGTGATAACCTACAAGAATGGGTCTTCAAAAACACAAATAGATTTTCTTCTAATGAGGAAGGGGTATCGTATAACTCGTAAGGATTGCAAAGTTATACTAGGAGAGAACTTGTCTAATCAACATCGCTTGTTGGTGATGGATGTACAAATCAAAAGAGTGAGAAAAAAGAACAAGACCTTGAAGTGCCTAATGACTAGATGGTGGAATTGAAAAGGAGAAAAACAAGCAATTTTCAAAGAGAAAGTAATCACCTAATGCATTTGGGATAGAGAAGGAGAAACTAGCCAAATGTGTGATTCCATGGCTAGTTGTATCCGAAAAGTAGCAAAAAAGGGTTATTAAGAGAGTCCAAGGGCTTTGCTCAACACCAAAAGGAATCTTGGTGGTAGAAGGAGGAGGTACATACAAGGTTTAAGGCTAAGAAAGAATGTTGTAAAGCCTTATACAACGACGTAACCTATGAAAGCAGTGAAAGGTATAGAATAGCGAAGAAGGAGGCAAAGAAAGTTGTGAGAGAAACTAAGCTACCGTCTTTTGACGATATGTTTAAGCGACTAGATACCAAAGAAGGAGAGTTAGATATCTATAAACTAGCTAGAGCAAGGAAAAATAAGACAAGAGACCTAAATCAAATGAGGTGCATCAATGATGAGAATGGAAAGGTTCTTGCTATAGAGAATGCAATCAAAGACAGATGGAGAAGTTATTTCCATAATCTTTTCAATGAAGGACATGAAATGAGTACTTCTTTGGGGGAGTTGAGTAACTTAGAAGAGTGTAAAAACTACTCATTTTACAGCCGAATTAGGAAGGAAGAAGTGGTTGTAGCTTTGAAAAAGATGAAGCATAGAAAAGCAGTGGGCCTAGATGATATATTGATCGAAGTGTGTAAAGTCTTGGCAGAGTCGGGTATAGCTTGGCCCACAGATCTTTTCAATAGGACTTTGAAAACGAAGAATATGCCAAATGAGTGGCGAAAGAGCACTTTGGTACCTATCTACAAGAATACAAGAATGAGGGCGACGTACAAAATTGCATGAATTATAGGGGTATTAAGTTAATGAGTCATACAATGAAGCTCTGTGAGAGAGTAATTAAGCAATTGATTGAGGCAAAAGACACGGGTCTTGGACAACCAATTTGAGTTCATGCTAGGGCGCTCAACCATTGAGGTAATCTATCTCTTACAAAGATCGATAGAAAGATATAGAGATATGAAAAAGGATTTGCACATGGTCTTTATAGATTTGGAAAAAGCATATGATAGGGTCCCAAGAGACATTCTTTGGAGGATTTTGGAGAAGAAAGAAGTATGAGTAGCATATATCCAAGTTATAAAGGATATGTATGATGGAGCAATGACGGCAGTAAGAACTCATGAAAGACAAACTGAAAGCTTCCCCATAACTGTAGGGTTACATCAAGGCTCACCTTTAAGTCATTACCTTTTTGCATTGGTAATTGATGAGTTAACAAGACATATTCAAGATGATATTTCTTGGTATATGCTTTTTGCAGATGATATAGTGTTGATAGATGACACTCAGGAATGAGTAAATGCGAAGCTTAACCTTTGGAGAGAAGTGTTGGAATCTAAAGGTCTTCGCCTAAGTTTGTCAAAGACAAAGTCTATGGAAGGCAAGTTCAGTGCAAACAGAGGTTTAAATGAGTTAGGGGTGAGGATTAGAGATTAGGAAGCACCAAATAGCGACCGCTTTCGCTACCTAGGATTTGTTTTGCAAAAGAACGGAGAGTTGGATGGAGACTTCAACCATAGAATACAAGCTGGATGGATGAAGTGGAAGAGTTCATCCGGCATGTTGTGTGATCGTCGTATGCTACTTAAGCTCAAGGGAAAATGTTATAGGACGACAATAAGGCCAGCAATGCTTTATGGCATGGAATGTTGGGCAGTGAAACGTCAACACGTACATAAAATGAGTGTAGCAGAGATGAGAATGCTTCGTTCCCTTCTCTTGTAAGTAAACATGCTTGTAATGAATGTTCTGCTTTGAGTCTAAGGTAGAAAATGAAGACATTGTGTGCATGCTATTACGACACGAGAAATAGGACAACGCAAACTCACAATTGGTGCAGCAGATTCATGCTATTTTCTCTTATTTGACAAATTCAACAAACCACATAGGGATTACAAGGCTACTAGGAAAGCATGAAAGAACAGTAAAGGAAAATATTTATCTTAATTGATAACCAATTAGAGAAGATACGCGAAGAGACATGCCGTTAACTTGTGGAAATAATCTGACAAATTGTTGGGGACTCTATCTCTTAGGGACTTGCTGCTTTGATTCACTCCCGAGGGATTGCTGCGGAATTAAGTCTCCCCCTGTGAGGTAATTCTGCATTCAAGTCACTTAACGATGACGACGGGCCATAGAGCTTAATATCTCGGCCTTCATCACGTTGCAATGGCCTTGCATTCGCCGCTGCATACTGCACATTCAAGAATCGTGCTATATCGTTAAGTATCTTATTAAATTTGAAGAAAAACATATCATATTTGATTCCCAGAAAAATTGTGCCTTTATATGACTGATATAACAATACCAAACACAAAAACCATATTTGTTCCAAATGAAGGCAGCTAACAGTACTGTAGTAATGTTTTATTCTATTAATAGTTTTTGCCAAGAATTCAGATTTAATAGACTTTAATTGTTAAATTTAAAACAAGAAAGACATAAGGAATTATTAAACAAAGATACGAAGACTTACATCATAAACAGCTTCTTTAAGTAAGTCCAGTTGTTCTCTTGAAACAATATCTACCTGAGGGCATGAAGTTTATGATTAGCGAAAGGTTCTCATTAATTATTGGCTGTATATCAAGCTAATGATGAATACTTTAGGGTTTTGGGTTGATGAAGTGGATGTACCTTTTCGTTTACGGTCCAAATAACTCCTTCTGTACAGGGAGGAGTTGTGAGTGATCCCATGTATCTGTAAAATCTTGAGCTGTCCCATTTTATTTCCCTTGGATCAATCACTCCCAACTTTTTCTCCTTTGTACTAGTCACAAAAGATATATCCTGGTTTATCTGAAAAGGGAACAGTACGTGTCAGAATACCCTGAAATGAATCTCTTATAATTCATTTACATGTGTTTTGTGGATTTTAATTACCTTTGATAAAAAAGCATTGGGCTGCCCGACTTCGTATAGAAATGCAACTACAGCTATATTGTTCTGGTCTGCACTTTGATGCACCATGTGCAGTTCCAAATCATACCTAATGAAGAGAACTCTTAAGTTTAGACATGGAAGAAACATTTTGGATTTTTAAGACAGGAGCTGAGGGAGAGGGGAGAGAGAAAGAAAGAGACCTTGCACCATTAACGGTGTGCTCAGATGGGGTGTGCCAATGACATCTTTTGAGGAAGTAATCTGAGTCGTCGATTTGGATAGATCCAGCATCGCCTTCCCATTCAAGCTGAACCAATTTAAAACAATACAGAATCAAGAAATTGATAAGAGGAAGAATTTTTTCTTAGAAAAAAAGAGTTCTACAAAACCAAAGTCATTTTGTAAAAATGGAAAGCAGCACCCTGAATATTTTTTACTACTAATAAGCAACTTTGGTTTTCATTAGAAGAACGTGTTTCTATAATTCACTCCAACATATTGGGAAAATGAATGAAGGTATTGTAAGAAAATAAGAAATGCAGTATTAAATATAGGGTAGTACTATCCACACACCCATTTTACTTCTGACACCCTTTTCAATTTTCAGACGTTGGATTAAATGAATTAAAAAATATCAATGACAAAAAATTAATGAAGGTGTGTGGGAAGTAAAGATGTGTGTGTCAATAGCACTATCCTAAATATATACATGGAAAATAATGTATGAAAAATGAATTAAGGACACTATGATCAAATGGCTCTGTCAATCACCTCCAAATTTCAGATCTTATGGACAATAATTGTTTGACAATTAAATATATACATAAATAGCACCTCCATACAACATAGGTGGTACAAATTGATAAGACCATGCAAACTCCACAATTTAAGTTAAAGCATAACAAAACTCTAATGTGATACTCTCACCGCGATATAGTGACCTTCGTTCTTGAGAGTTGCATCGGAAGGCTTATAGCTCACTGTAAGATCCCTTGAACTTTGGATCACTTTGGTGGCACGACTCTCGTCTAAACCTATTGGTGATTGAGATCGTCCATCTTTACATGCCGCCCATTCTTGTTTAAGCTCTCCCCAGTGTTCTGGGCCCTTCTCACTCCCTTCCCTATAATCAAATGCTATTTCTTGGTCTGCACCAAAAACCTAAATTCAAGATGAATGTAATAATAATGATCATGATAAGGAGAGCGAAATGATTTCTGCAGAGTTTCTTTTTCTGCACACATTTTTCCTTTGATTTATTCAATTCATAGATTAGAAATAAATACGGGTGTGCAACGGGAGAAAAGAAGCTTGCAGAAATCAATTCACAATGCAAGTCTATATACTTGGCATTACCGAGTGGTTTAGCTGTAACTGGTACTTGGTTCCAATACAAAAGAAAAATTGTCAAAGCAAAGAACTGATTATGGGTTTGCTTTGATTGAAGCATCATTCACAAAAATCACTAAGATCGATCATGCAAATGTCAAGAAAAAGAAGCCTCAGTTGTAATCCGATTTAGACAACAATGCACTATGAGGCTATGACGAATACTGAAATTTATAGAGCACAAGGTAGGGTTAACCACTGTAGAAGAAGTTTCAGGATCTAGATGGGGAAAGAAATCATTCCGTTTACTAATACCTATATCGGTTTTGTAATTCACATCACCTATATTAAATGCAAAATTCAAATTAATAATATGCCTTCACCTATTCTTCATTTTTCTGGTTCATTACTATATATAGACAACATTGGACGACAATTTAATTTGGATCCTCTACAGATTTTCTGTCTACATGGAGTTTCGATCTTGACCATTCAAATAGATTCAAAGTTTAGCGATACTATAAATTTATTTTACCATCTTTGGTCACCTGCCATCGCCAAGTACCATTTGGATCATCCAAGTATAGGGGAAAGATTCAATGGCCGAGTACCATTGGGTTCTTTATTATTTTCCTTTTAATAATTAATTATTATGGTAAAAAAAAAAAACCAGATATTTGCAATTGAAAAGGACAAATGCCATTCGAATCGTGGCTCTCTGTACTTTTTTATATGTAGAGAAAATAGGAATCATGTTGTGGTCCATTTTATCTGACAAGGAGAGGGAGGACCGGCTGCACAAAGAGATAATAGAGAGAGATGTGTTTGTAGGGTTGTGTAGAGGATGTGTTATTCCCCCTACGCAATGCCTTTATTTATGGTAACAAGGGAGGGAAGAATAATTAGTATCAAATCTAATCTAGGATTTACAAAATCACACTTAAATAAGAAGCTTATAACACTCCTCCTTGAGTGTGTAAACACTCAAGTAGATTCGGCATCATGTAGAGTTGAGGAAATCGACTCGTTGACATTGATTTTGGGAACACGCTAGTCTCAAATAAGGTAGGAACTTGCATATGGAACTATAAGTCTCACAAAAAACCCTATGGCTATGGTAAAAACTCGAGTAGGGACAAAATCCCTAGTCTAAGGAAAAATGAATGAGAAATGCAAAGTCAAATGAAACGTTTACGAGACGTCATCAGGGATATGATCAACCCAAGGTGAGTGCCTCGTTAAAACCTCATTAGGTAGCAAAAACCCAGTGGAAAAAATGCTCCTAATCTTAGGGAAAAAGAGTACATTAAGATCAAGCAAGTATACTTCAGGATACTCCCCCTGAGTTTGACATAATTCCAAAGAAAACTAAAAATGCTACAACAGAAAGTTTACATATACCAATTCCTTGAACAAGCTCCTAAAACGTCGCCATCGGAATTGATTTGGTGAAGAGGTTGGCCAGATTGTCTTGTGAACGAATTTGCATGACTTCCATCTTCTGATGCTCTCGTTGTTGATGTGAGAAGAAGAAGTTCGGCCCAATGTGCTTGGTGTTGTCCCATTTGATGTAACCCTTCTTGAGTTGTTCGATGCATGCTGTGTTGTCTTCATAGATTGTCGTTGGGACGTCAACGACGGAGTAAAGATAGTAGAAGCTTCAAATATGGCTCACAACTGTTCTTAACCAAAAGCATTCCTAAGTTGCTTCATGTAAGGCGAGAATTTCAGCATGGTTAGACGAAGTGGCAACGAAGGTTTTTTTAGTTGACCTTCAAAAGATTGCGGTGTCTCCAATGGTAAAGACATAACCCATTTAAGAGCGTGCCTTGTGTAGATCAGATAAGTATCCTGGGTCGGCATAACCAACAAGGCGAGAATCGACTTGAGATAAGGGGGTGCGGCATTACTCGAGGATTCGTAGGGATAAAACAAGTCCAGATCCGTAGTACCCTTAAGGTAATGGAATATGTCTTTAACACCAATCCAGTGTCTGTGTGTTGGTGCACTACTGTATCTTGCCAAAAAATTAATAGCAAATGAGATGTCGGGTCTAGTGCATTGAGCTAAGGATAATAAAGCGCCTATCATACTTAGATAAGGAACTTCAGGTTCCAAAATTTCTTCATCATCCTCATTTGGATGGAAGGGATCTTGTTTTGCATCTAGCGATTAAACGACCATAAGAGTACTTGAAGGCTTCACTTTATCCTCGTTAAAGCAGCGCAACACCTTCTAGGTGTAGTTCGATTGATGTACTAAGATTCCATCCAAACAGTGCTCTATCTCGAGACCAAGACAGTATTGAGTCTTTCCTAGATCTTTCATCTCAAATTCCGACTTTAGGTGTGCTGTTCTCTGGAGCTCTTCAGGAGTTCAGATGAGGTTCATGTCATTGACATATACTGCAACGATTATAAAACCGGAATGTGACCTCTCAATGAACACACAAAGGCATAGTTTGTTGTTCACATATCCCTGACTAGTCAAATACTCACTCAAACGGTTATATCATACTCTTCTGGATTGCATCAAACCGTAAAGTGAACGCCTCAACCAAATTAAAACCGTGTTCCGGGGTTTGGAAATATTTGATTCAGTCAATGTAAGTCTTTTGGGAACTATAAATTTCCATATCAAGATCCCCATAGAGATACGCAGTTACTACGTCCATTAGTTGTATACTCAGTTTTTCGGAACGACTAAACTAATAAGGTAGTAAAAAGTAATCACATCAATAAAGGGTGAATAAGTTTCTTCATAGTCAATCCCGGGGCGTTGTGAGAAGCCTTGCGTAACAAGGTGAGCTTTGTAACACACAATTTTGTTCTTCTCATTATGCTTCCGAATGAAAACCCACTTGTAGCCAACAGGCTTCACATGTGGAGAAGTAGAAGTTATAGGTCCAAACACCTTACGTTTCGCAAGCGAATTGAATTCAACTTGGATTGCTTGTTTCCAGTTTGACTAATCAGTTATACGTCGACATTCATCAATGGAACGACGTTCAATGTCATCGCTCAACATGATTTCAGTTGCTACTGCATATGCTAATGCATCGTTAACGATCATCACATTTCTACACCAAACATCATCCAAGCTAGCATAATGGACTGAAATCTTACGATTCTCGGGAGGTGGATTTGTCTTTTCAAGGATGTTTCTGTAATCTAGAATTTTCTTATGAGTTGGATAGAATGAGTAGGTTACAGTCGGATTCACGGTATGCTCTTCAAAGGCCTGTGCCGTGGGTTTCCTCTTCTAGGGGTGTGAATCCTTTGAACCAAGTGGTCTATCACACTTGTGTAGGGGTAGATGATTGGCTAGTCGCTAATGTACATGGATTGGCCAAAGTGGCATCTCGGGCCTCCAAGAAGGAAGTTTGTCGTACATTTGGTAATCCATCTTTATAGGCACATTTGCAGCTGGAATATGTGATCTTGTCACTCATGCTAGATTGGTGAAAACATTTGGCATGCTCTAAGTTTTACTCTGAAGATCTAATATGCGTTGCACTTTAGTTTCAAACTAAGTGGTGCAATGATCTAAATGATACAAAGTGGGAGTCGTCCATAATAATTCACGCTGTTCTTTAGGAATGTTAACATTCTTATCTCTCCCTAACGATGGGAAGACTGTCTCATAGAAGTGACAATCCGCAAAATGAGTTGTAAACAGATCGCCTGTCAAAGGTTCTAAGTAACGAATGATTGAAGGAGAATCATATCTAACATAGATTTCCATCATTTGCTGAGACCCCATTTTTGTACATAAGGGCGGCGAAATCGGTATATAGACTGTATAACAAAAAACATTCAGATGCGATATGTCAAGAATGTATCTGGAAACCAACTTAAGGGCGCTATATGGTTGGATTGCAATAGGCCTCAGGTGGACCAACATGGTTGCGTGCAATATTGCATGGCCTTAAGTAGCGATCAGGAGCTTGGTACGTACGACCAATGATAGATTAATCATTTGTAATTGCTTAATAAATGTCTTTGCCATGTTGTTCTAGGAGTGAACATGGGGTACTAGATGTTCAACTTCAACACCAACTGACATGCAATAGTCATCAAAAGTTTTAGATGTGAAGTCTGCAATATTATCCAATTAAATATATTTGATCGGATAATCAAGGTAGTGAGCCCTGAGCTTGATAGCATGAGCCAATAATTTGGAGAATGTAGCATTCCTTGTAGATAACTAGCACACGTGTGACCAATGTGTGGAAGCATCAACCAAAACAATAAAATATCTAAATGGTCCATAGTGAGGGTGAATCGGTCCATAAATGTCCCCCATGAATCATTTGTAGAAAAATTGGAGGATTTGAGCAAATCTTGTCATAAGAAGGCTTAATAATAAGTTTTCCCATATAACATGTTTGACATGCGATTCCTTGAATCAAACATAAACTTTGGGTTAGTGGATGCCCATGTGATGATTTGAGGATACGGCGCATCGTTGTTCATCTAGGGTGTCCCAAATGATCATGCCAAAGTGTAATTATGTGCGCGGTCCCAACGGTAGGGCTGGCTGCATAGTGGCTCTCTATAGGGCGTATGGTCGTAGTATACAAACCACTTGGGATACGTTACATCTTCTCTAGAATACGCTTCTGGCCATATTCATAGGAAGTGATGCATATAAATTCAACTTTGTTTTCTACATAGGTTTCAGTGTGGTAATTATTATCTCTATTGTCCTTGAAACTCAACAACGTTCTTCCGAAATGTGGAGAATAGGCTGCCTCTTCAATGGTTGAGATTGTACCATTGGACAACATTATATGTGCCTTACCGTATCCTTCAATCAGGTTGGATGGTCTTGAGAGGGTTGTAAGAGGTGCATTCTTAGGTATGAAGTTAGTGAAATAGATACGTTCACGCAAAATGGTGTGGGTGGTTGCACTATCTACCAGACAACTAACTATCCGACTAGTCATACCTAGAAATAAAAATTAATTTGAATTGGTCACATGCATAAAAGTTATAAAGAAAAACAAATATCCATTCAAAATAATTTAAGTATGCAAGGATGGTAATTGAAAAACTTAATATCCAAAAAATAAACCACCAACAAATAATCCAAACATAAAGGAAATTGTTCAAAATTAAACCAAAAAACTAGGGGCTTCGGCCACTAGGTGGAATTTGGCCCTATTATTTCAAATAAAAACTAAAAATAGTTCATGTCTAAAATTCTAATCTTCTATAGGGATGGTATCTTCCTAAAAGTCAGAAACCTCCATCTTGGTACTCTCTGGTTCAGCCACTTGCACAAAGTTTAATTCAAACTTTTTATGACGAGAATGATATTTAGCTACAACCTTTTGGGGAGCACGGCAGACACAAGATAAATAGTCCTTTGAACTACAGTGGTAGCATATGTTCACATCTATGGTTTTAGGTGCTTTGACCTTTTTCTTGAAGTTTGGGACCTTGGGATCAAGGTTAGGGCACTTTTGGGCTCGGTTTCCTCCCTTAGGTGGGCCTTGGCTTTGTTGACCTTGACAAGGTGGCTTATGGCCACCCTGACGACGCCCATGTTAA